CGTTGTGTGCCATCATGCGGACGAACTCAAAGACCTGCTGCCCGCCGGACGGGCCCAGCATGTGGTCCACGCTGAAGGGCTTGGTGGGAGAGGCGGGCGGCGCAGCAGGGTAGTCCGCTGCGTTAGGAAATTGCTGGCGCAGCTCCAGGTCGTTCAGGATCAGCCGGTTGCCGTCGTAGGCAACGCTCAGACTGTTTGTGGTCTCGCTATAGGTGGCGGTGGCAAAGTTGGAGCTGACCCAGGCGGCCAGCCGGGTGCCCGTGTAAGCGCCCTCGGGCAGTAGCGCCCAATTCAGCGTGCCGAACCCAGTAGAGGTAGCGGCCGCGGTCCGTGGACAGGAAGCTGTCGGCCAGGCGGATTTTGTAGACAGCGAGCCGGGCGTCGCTCTGCAAGTGCAGCGACTCTCCCAGGTCGACCTCAAAGTCGCTGTCCGAGCCGGCCACCCTCTTGCGGCTGTCCACGTAGATCGTCGTCATCCTTTTCTTGAGGAAGCCACCCGTCCGGCGAACGACGGGCGACTGGACAGCTGCGACGGAAGTGCAGCACTGAGCGCCTGAGGCGCAGGAGATGTTCTCACACTTCGCGTTGATCAGCGTGGAGCTGGCGAACAGCTTCTGGCCCAGGAAGCTGAGCGCTGCCCCCATCGGAGTCTTTCTCAAGCGCGAAACGCTCTTCGAAGAGCTTGTAGAACATTTCGTTCTTCGGCTTCAGGTAGTACACAAAGAGGAAACTGTAAGGTTCTCGGGTCGCCTGCTCGTACAGCCGGTACAGCTGCTCCTTCGGCAGCAGTGCGCTCAGCTCCTCGATGACGGCATCCAGCTCGTGCTGGTTGCGCAGCCTCCAGCAGCACAAAAATTGCATGTTGACCCGCACGGCGGCGCTGATGAGCCTCAGCTTCTGGGAACTCACCCAGGTGCTGATCTGCATGTGCCGGCCCCTGATGAACAGCGTATCCAGGGCGCCGTGAGGCTTGTGCAAATGCGGCGTGTCAGCAAAGTCGTCGATGACTACAAGCACCTGGTACAGTTTCTTCATTTCCAACTTCTTGGACGCCTCCGTGATCTTGCGCTGCTGCTGGATGATGCGCCGCAGCGCCGCCTCGTACCACTCGTCCCAATACGTCTGCTCCCGCTCTGTGTTCACCCCCAGGTCCTCCTCAATGTACTTCTTGACGGGTATCCAGCCGTCGGCTATGTTGACACTCGGGCTGAAGATGTAAATTCTCTCAAAGACGCCGCGATACTGCTCCAGAATCAGGCTGATCAGAGCCACGGTTTTGCCCGATTTTGATGGCCCGAGGAAGATGCCCGTGCATGGCACCAGGGGCACCACGGGGTCAGAGGGCTGCTTACTGCTATACTCTGTCGTAGGAAACAGCTTGATCTTCCCCATGCGTCCTTTTAAAACAGGCATGCAGCTGAAGTTTATGGGTGAGTTGTGGCATCTGGACGAACATGCGCTGGGCGCCCAGCTGCGGACTCTGCGGGCCCGGCAACCGCTGCGAGGCCTGGGAGAACGGCAGGCACGCACGCGCCGCACAAAGGGGTCCCCGGAAAATCGGCCAGCGCTACGAGAACGTTCGCAGGCAGTCCCGTGAGCTGCTGTACAGCATTCCAGCGGCGCTCTGTGACGAGATTGCGGCGCAGCAAGCGAGACTTAACCGGAAGCCGGCCCGGCCCCGGAGGAGCACGGAAAGCACGCGGAAGACTGCCTGCCAGGGATGGAAGCATTTAGATTTTTATATAAAAAAAATCCAAGGTCCGGCCCAGAGAGTACCGGCACAGAAAGCACGCGGAGACTGCCTACCAGAGATGCCGGCAGAGGAAGGGATGGTATGCACAAGGGTTGCCTACTCCAACAATATTGCAGTTACGGACCCAGCAAAGCTTGCGCAGGAATTCACGCAGCCTCACTTCTACACACCGCCTGCAAAAAAAAGTTGGCGTGCAGAAGTGAGGCTACAAGGAAAATTGCAAGCAAATCGAGGGTGCGTTACGTTGCAGCGCCGTGGCTGCAGGAGCAATTCTGGACTTGAAATTCTTCGCAGGACAAGGTCGTTTCCTGAGCGGACGAGCTCTGCTGGGTCTGTAGCTGCAATATTGTGGCAGTTGGAAACCTTTGTGTATAGAGAGAGCTAGCGGCATAAAAATGCCATGCACTGCTGATCTGAGCATGGCTTGGCGTCTAATGCTGACAGGAAAGATGGCCATAAACGCGCATGGACAGAGAGCATGCAACCCGGCGGCGAGTGCAGGTCTGTGTACAATGGCGCTAGCCAGGATCTGAGTTCGGGGCTCAGGCTGGTAGCCCACAGTGGAGGATCTAGCGTGTGTCTGCCATTTTCGGATTTCGGGTCCGCTTTACCGCGCACATGGTTTTTGCTTGTAAGTTGCCAGAGGAAAGAAAAGGGATGCCAGGCCAAGATCACGCAACCGTTTGAGCGTTGGACGTGTAGTCGGAGTTGCGCGAATGCCTGGGGATCAAGACCAGGAAGGCTGCGTTTCACGCTTGTTTTCCTGTTGGGGCTGCCGCTGTGGCTGCTGCCGGCGTTGCCAGAAAGCGCAACGGCAACGCAGCGCCGCCGGGGGTAAAATGAATCCAGCTTATGTTTGGGCTGCAGGCCTGTTGTGTGCAGATTGTGAAGTAACTTTGGCAAGCAAGGTGATTGCGATGTGTTGCTTGCAGCGTGAAGCTCAGAAACCTGCTCTGCGAAGCCTGCAGGACACAGCCCATGGAAGGATCCAACGCTCCAGCGCCTCCTGCGGCTCCTGCCTTTACATCAAGCCAGGAAAAGTTGCCAGAGGAGAAGGAGAAGTTGAAGGAGAAAGCTCCAGCATCAGCGTCTGCCACAGCTTCTGCCACTCAATCAGTCTTGCAAAAGCTGAAAGAGAAGCGTTCGATGCTCGCAGCCGAGAAGCGGCAAGTTGCCAAGCAAGTCCGCAAGGAAGCGAAACGCCTGGCCAAAATTAAGAAGGCCCTTGGGCGCTTGACAGAGTCGGAGATGCGCGAATGCCTGGAGATTAAAACCAAGAAGCCTGTGTGAGTTTCGCCTATGCCGAATGCCTGGAGATCAAGACCAATTGTGGCTGTGTGATTTTCACGTGTGCTGAATGCCTGGAGATGAAGACCAAGTGGCTCTCTGAGCTTTGCGCTTGTTTTCCTCTTGTGGCTGCTGCTGGCGTTGCCAGAAAGTGCAACGGCGATGCGGCGCTGTAAAGTTGAAAAAGAAGTTGGCGCGTGGCATTTGTTTGAGTAAGCGTGGTCAGACGGATGTCAGTCAACCATGCTTTGGCGTTTTCACAGTGCGTGGCACGAGCAGACATGGCATGTTTGGTTTCTTGACCGCGTGCAGGGTTCTTGCTCGCGTGGGTGTGTTTGCGCAGCGCTTAATTGCGTGCCTGTGTGCATGATGAAGTGAATGTGCTTGGGCGTGGCCAAACTTGTTCAAGCCTTTGCTTTGAAGCCATTTTCTCGCACGTTTTGGCGTTTTGGCGGTGTGAGGCGCGTGTGAGCTGCAACTGTCCGATTGTTTGTGTGGAGCAGGCGCCGCATGTTTGACAGAATATTTGCAGTGTGAGCCCTGTGCGCAGTTTTGAAAGGAAGCCCTGACGCCCCCTTCCCCTTTTTCCCCTTCTTCTGTGTTCGTGCGTTTCCCAGAGAGAGAGAGAGAGAGTGTGTGTGTGTGAGGCTTGGGCATGGCCTTGTTCCCTAGCGTGTGTGTGTGTGTGTTTGTCCGTCCGGAACGGTCGGATCTGCTTGGGCTCACAGAATGTGGCTTGCAACAGCTGTGATAGGGTGGCAGTCAGCGGTGCTCACGGGGTTGGCGTTGTTTTTGGGCTTGTGTTCTGTGGTAGCGGAGCTTCGCGCTCGAGCTGACGTTCCTTCCACAGGCCAATGCAGAATGTGGCACACGGGAGCTTTGACAGGGTGGCAGTCAGTGGTGCTCACGAGGTTCCCGTGCGTGCGTCGGCGTTGTTTTCGATGTTGTTGCCATTGACCCGCGCGGGCTGGACTTCCCACGCGCGTGTCGGCGAGGTTATTGAGCTTGTGCTCTGTGGTAGCGGAGCTCCGCGCTCAAGCTGACCGTCCTTCCACAGGGGCACCGCAGCTCCCCTCCCCCTTCCCCCCACCAAGACAATGATGTGGAGGTGAGGAGCGTGTGTGCCCTGTTTATGGGCTGGACTTGTGGCGGGGCTGGCAGTGTGCTTAGGCCTCTTACGCGCGCGCAAAGAGATTGTGCATCATTCTGCATCATTGATGTGACGGTGGAAGTTCGTGACGTTGGATTGTGGATTCCGGCTCAAATCATTGTTAGGTTGGGGCACGGGGAAGGGTGACTGGCTGCAGCCCAGTTAGGTTGGGGCACGGGGAAGGGTGACTGGCCGCAGCCCAGTGCCCTTGTGCGCGATGAGCGGTAGCAGTGGCTCCTTCACTAGAAGCAGCAGCAGTAGCTCCACAAGTTCTGATTCCCTGGCATCTTCAGAAGTGCCCGAGCATCCCGCCGAGGAGGAAGTCTTGGATTTGGAGGAAGGTGCTAGCAGTGGCGATGAAGGCTGCGACCGATTTGCGAACATGTCGGCAGCAAAGCCAGACCTGAGCTACCGAGGCCACACAGTCCATTTCTGGACGATCCCGTACTCAGCCATCGAGGGCCGTTTGACTGCAGAAAACACATCCAAGAAGGGCATGCTGCGGCATTTTCGAGAAGTCTACGGAGGCTTTGGAATTCTACGCTGCTTTCCGGGAACTGCATGCTGAATCCTCACGAAGCTGGGAGCGCAAGGCTCACTACCATGTGGTCTTGAAGCTGAAGGGCCGTGTCCGGTGGATTCAGATTGCCCGCGAGCTGCGCGCCAGGGGCATCTTCGGGCTTGTCCTTGCCGACCAGGTATGCAGATATCTGGCGCATTGTAGCGTATTGCTATGTGCCTTCTGCCAGGAAGCCCTTGCCAGAACTTGATCCCGATCCCTTGCTGAGCTCAAACTTCCCCATTATTGACATGGAGAAGCGGCTCCGCGGGAAGCTTGCCAGAACACAAGTTCTGAGGCCATGGGATTTTTTCCAAGTCTTGCGAAGACACCCGAGCATCGAGACCTACAACGACCTCATTGTCTGGGCGCAGTCCCAGCAGAAGCACGGGGTGCCTCAATACTTGGAGTTTATGACCAGGCAAGGTGGCAAGATGTCTGGGCTCTTCAAGGCATGGAAGCAGCTCATGGCTAAGCCTGTGAGCCAAAAGTCGCAACGGGAGGAGCGATTGCGCTACTGGCAGGCTTCAAGGCAGGCGCCCTGTTCTTGCACAACGCCAGGCCGCTTGAGGTCTGGCCTGGATGCCTTGATGGTGCGCGAGAAGGATGGTGAGAGGTTTGGCTACTTCGTCAAACGGCTTATCCGCATTGGGACAGCGGCCAAGAATTGCAACATCTTGCTTTGCGGGGCTTCCAATGCGGGGAAGACTGCCCTCACAAGGCCGTTGATGGCTATGTTTTCTCACCGCTGCTGGATGCGTCCTAACAAGGGCGACACGTTCCCCTTAGAGTCGTTGCAGGACAAGCTGATCAGCTGCTGGCAGGATTGGAGGCCAGGGGCTTTGTTTTTAGAGGTGGCTGCTAGCTTTTAAAAGGAGGGCCGTTGGGGGGCCAGTTGTGAGCGGACGAACGCCGCCGCGACTGTCAATCTGTGTCGCGCAGGCAAAATTCCTGCCCGGTGGCCTGGGACACCCTGCTCTTGCTTCTGGAGGGCGAAGCTGTGGTGGCTGCTTGCAAGGGCTCGGCGTCGGTGGTCATTTCCGAGCCGCCGCCTTTTCTCATCACGTGCCAGGAGCGCGTTGTGCCGCTAGATGCGAATGGTCGCCCCAATGTTGCCGAGAAGGATGCCTTTCACAATCGGTTTGCCTTGCGGTGGCATCTGAAATGCAGCATTCCGCCTTCAATGAAGGATTCGCAAATGAAGATGTGCTACCGCTGCGTGCGTTGCTACTCAGACTGGGTGGATGAGAAGCACGCTGCCTATGCAGAGAAGGCCCCGGACATCGAGGCGGAGACTGCAGCGCTGGAATCGGCCATCTGCCAAGAGGATTCAAGGGTGCCCGCTTTGCAAGAAGAAGAAGAAGAAGAAGTACTTTCAGGGGCCACGACCCAGCCGTTGCTGGCCGCGCAGTCTGCTGACCCGCGTTCATCGCAGTTGCAGCCATCCGGTGCAGCGGTTCGGCCTCAGCCAGTGCAGCTAGACGAGTCGAATCCCGCCGAGGAGCTTAAAGGCGATGGCTCCGAACCTTTCCAAGATCGACGAGTTCGCCCCCGGCTCGAGCCGGCCGTTGCTTCTTCACCGGCACCGGCGGAGGAGTTCCCGGGACCGGAAGAAGGCAACCAGCCGAGCCAGCCCTTGGTGCCTTCCCATGTGGAGATGCTGCCTGCTCCACGAACGCCTGAGCCGTGGACCCCGCCGTACCCGCCTCCAAGGACGCCCCCCGTCGTTTCGCGAGCCGTCAAAGGCAGCGGTTGGGTGGAGGTGAGCCCTCTGCACGCCCGCCGTGATTTGCAATAGTGTTGCAACGCAAGGACTCCCGGTTGGCATTGGCTGCACAGACGTAAGCCCATTGCCGGAGCATGTTACACGCCGCGCAAAAGGCGTGCTTTTTGTTTAGGTCTTTGTCCGGCCAGATGTCCTCGGGTGCATTGTGCGGGCGTGCGCAGGTGGTTCTGCTTGCTGGCTGAAAGGGTGTTGGAGCTCCCGCAGTTGATACGTCGGAGTTGACGTCCTTGCGACAGTTGTGATAGGGTGGCAGTCAGTAGCGCTCACGGACTTCCCGCGCGCATATCGGCGTTGCTTTCAATGCTTTTGCCATTGACGCGCGCAGGCTTCCCGCGCGTGTTGGCGTTGTTTCAACTGCTTTGGTCCCAGGTGCATGAGAGAGCCCTGGTTAAGGGCTAAGTAAGGGCTAAGTAGCAAGGCTTCTGGCCTACACAATGCCTCTTGCTTGGCGTCGCTGTGCAAGTGTGTTCGTGCTTGCGCGGGCGCGTGCGCGCGCGTGTGGCTGCGAGCGTGTGTGCGCGCGCAGCGGCGTAAACCCGTTACCTTCACTTGTTTTGTTGCTTACGCGGGCGCGTGCGCGCGCGCGTGGCTGCGAACGTCCGGCGTGCGCGTGGGCGCATGCACGTGTGCGCGCGCAGCGGCGGAAACCGGTTACCCTCACTTGTTTTGTTGCTTGCGCGGAACGTGCGCGCGCGTGGCTGCGAGCGTGTGTGCGCGCGCGTGGGCGCATGCATGTGTGCGCGCGCAGCGGCGTAAACCAGTTACCCTCGCTTGTTTTGTTGCTTACGCGGAACATGCGCGCGCGCGTGGGCGCATGCATGTGTGTGCGCGCAGCGGCGTAAACCTGTTACCCTCACTGGTTTTGTTTGTCAGAGGTGAAAGTCTTGGATTTGTTGAAGACGGGCTGCCGCAAAGGCGTTTGCCAAGCATGTTTTCATTGATCAAGAACGAAAGTTAGGCCATCGAGGCAATTTGATTTTTGGCTAGGGCACATCTGGCTCTGCTTTGACATCTTACTGGAGATCGTGCCAGCGCTTCATTGTGTGGCACGGCGTTTAAGGTTTTACCTTAGGTACATTTTTTCCAGCAAGCGTGTTGTTGCCTGCAAAGAGACGGACAAGACTCAGACTTGGATGCCCATCATGAAGATGAAGCCTGCGCACGCTTGAAGATTGCACCATTGACTGGTGGCGCAGTGTTTTTGCTTCTCGCAGGAAAGACGGTTGTTTCCAGAAATCGAGCCAAGTCTTGCCTGCACGGAAGCAGACGATAGTTGGGGGCATTCGTATTTCACCGTGACGTTCTTGGATTTGTTAAAGGCGGACTTCTGCGAAAACATCTGCCAAGGATGTTTTCATTGATCAAGAACGAAAGATAGGGGGTCGAAAGAAGCAGATACTGTCCTAGCCTTGACCATAAAGCCACAGATTGGATTGAACGACTCCTTCAGCACCTTACGAGAAATCAAATTCTTTGGGTTGCCGAATTTTCGGGGGGAGTATGGTCGCCCGCCTGTTTTGGTTGGTTTTTCGCTTTTGGCTCAAGTGAGCGCTGCCGCGCTTTGTCCAACCAAGCTGGAAGAAGCAAGCCGATCGTTGCGGCTGCGGCCCCTGTGGTCCGGATTGGTACTGGATTTTGTAGGCCTCGGATCTATTCCTGCGATAATCCTGTTGGTGAAGGCCCTGGGATTTTTGGTGGAAGTGTGATTAACAGACACAGCCCCCGAGGGGCTAGTTTTTTAACTGCCTCGGGTTTCAGAAAGCCTTGGTGACCTTGGCCCAGCTTTGCGCGGACTGGTCTCAGGCGAATTTCTGTACATTGCGAAAATTTCAGAGAGCAACCGAGCAACCTTGTCAAGCAGAAAAAAACTGTCCAGCAAAACTTTTTCTTTATTGCTCCGAAGTTGCTCGGTTGCACAGCCTCAATTTCACTGTTTTGCGCTGGCCAGGCCCACCGCCTGGGCAGCAGTCCTTGCAAGCTGGTAGCTTACAAAGGCTGCCAAAAAATCCGCCCTGCTGAAAACCGCCAGTCCGGCAGCAAAGGCTGCCCGGCAGCAAAGGCTGCCCCAAAAATCCGCCTTACGGAAAAGCGCCAGTCTGACAGCAAAGGCTGCCCAAAAAATCCGCCTTACGGAAAAGCGCCAGTCAGGCAGCAAAGGCTGCCCAAAAAACCCGCCTTACGGAAACAGCGCCAGTCCGGCAGCAAAGGCTGCCCGGCAGCAAAGGCTGCCCAAAAAATCCGCCTTACGGAAAAGCGCCAGTCCGGCAGCAAAGGCTGCCCAAAAATCCGCCTTACGGAAAAGCGCCAGTCCGGCAGGAAAGGCTGCCCAAGAAATCCGCCTTACGGAAACAGCGCCAGTCCGGCAGCAAAGGCTGCCAAAAAATCCGCCTTACGGAAAAGCGCCAGTCCGGCAGCAAAAGCAAAAAATCCGCCTTGCTGAAAAGCGCCAGTCCGGCAGCAAAGGGTGCCCAAAAAATCCGCCTTACGGAAAAGCGCCAGTCCGGCAGCAAAGGCTGCCCAAAAAATCCGCCTTACCGAAAAGCGCCAGTCCGGCAGCAAAGGCTGCCAAAAAAATCCGCCTTACGGAAAAGCGCCAGTCCGGCAGCAAAGGCTGCCAAACAATCCGCCTTACTGAAAAGCGCCAGTCCGGCAGCAAAGGCTGCCAAAAAATCCGCCTTACTGAAAAGTGCCAGTCCGGCAGCAAAGGCTGCCACATTTGTTAGCATTTTTTTAGCATTTGTTAGCTTTTGTTAGAGTTTGTTAGCTTTTCGTAGCTTTTGGCGCCATTTGTTGCCTTTTTGTAAACTTCAGCAGGTTTTGGGGGGGGGGGAGGCTGCAAACACTTTTGTCTGCCTTAATGCGTGAAATGTGACACAAAACCCATCGCGCGCCATGAGCGTTTTAGCTGAGAAGCAGTAGCATGTTTGCAGAAATGGCCAGGCGAGCAGTTCAGGGAATAGCGAAGACTAGGGATTGTTCTGCGGTGTCTCCATAGGTGCTTTGTAAAAGGCCCGGCTCTGTCGTGATCTTGCCGTTCGTGCGTTCAACGCGCAAGCAACTGAACGTATCTTGGGGACGGAGGCAAGCGACCCAGCCACCCAGCCGCCCAAGTGAACGTTCTTCCAAACATGGCGCGGGGTTAAGGGTGGACTGCCTCATAATGAGGCATTTTCTTTTTGTTGCCAGGTCATGCTCTTGAAAGCCTTGTTGGATTCTTTTTGCTGCACAGTTGCTGCGTTAGCCTTTTTTAGCTTTTGTTAGTGGTCTGTTAGCTTTCTATAGCTTTCTGTAGATTTTTGTAGCTCCCAGCAGGTTTCTTATTGGAATTTGCTAGCTCCAGCATGTTGGCCCGCGCGCTTGAAGCAGGCTGTTTCAAAGCGGTATGTTACATGTTTCAATGAGACTTGGCGTAGTCCCTGCCAGCCAGCCCCTTGTCAGTGCTGTTTTTTTTCCTCCGGACGTGCCTGCTTTTTTTCCTCAAAAGCATCTCTGATGCGATGGGTTCTCGTGTAGTCGAAGTTTTCCGCGATGGGAGCCTGGGCTGCGACCGGTGGCCGGCAGGTTTTTAAGTGCGAGGCTTGCGATCCAAGATCGGAACAAAGATCTTCGAGCGCCACTTTTTGGAGCCATCAGCGGGGGGCACTTTGTGGACTTGCTTTTGGGTTCCCAGGCTCACCTTATTTCTCCGCGCCTTCGGCGCAGACTTAGTTTTAGTTACTCGGTGCCGAGTAACGCGGTAATGTGCGCGTGTGTGTCTCGTATTTGGTTGGTCTTCGTGGCGCGCGCCTGTCCGCCAAGTGTTGCCAGCAATGAGCGCTGCTGCAGGGGGGCACTTTCGGGGTCCGTGTTCACGCCTGCCTTGCGCGGACGAATTCTAGTTCCTCTCCTGGGCTCAGGCTGGTAGCCCAAATGAGAAGTCCTAGAACCTGCTCTAGGAGTTTGCGCCTTTCCTGCTTTGAGCAGCTCATGCAACTGTCCTTTCAATTTGATGGCTTTTTCCGCGTGAGTTCGACGGTCTCGTGCAGGAAATTAATGCGCCACCCACACCACGTGAGGTTGTCCTGAAATTGAACTTTCTTCCAGGAGATCGGGGCCGATATGGCTGCAAAAAACATGACCATGAGGGCCAACTGCGAGTCTGCGTCATTGCGGCTAAAAGGTCGTCTACGAACAACCATGCGCGATGCGGGTGCAGTCCCGAAATGCCGTGCAGTAGTCTCAGGAGGAATGCTCCGGTGCGCTGCCACCAGTATGCAGAGAAGCGTGCTCCGAAGTGGCACACTCTATATGGTACAGGACATTGGCAACCCGAAACAAAACAAAAGCAGGCCATGTTCACTGGGGTGCACCTGGATCTGCTTATGCGCTGCTTTGAAATCAAAGCTTGCCCCCACAAAGGACGAGTTAAGACTAGCGGGTCTTTGCCTTCAGCATGCACGACGTTGAGCTTCCCGACTGCTATGCCTTTATGCCAATGCTGTCTGGCTTGTTCGATGGACATGCTGGTACGAACGACCCATCCGTTTGCAATTTCTTTTTCTAGCAAGGCGGACACTGTTTCTGGTTCCGCTTCAGCGGCTTTCCAGTTGCCGATGCACTCGGTGAGTTCACTAGGCAGGTCTGCCTGGGGTTTTGGCGGCCACTGCATGCTGCGCGGCAACTCCGACACCGCCCCTGTTGGCACGCCTTCTGCCAGCAGCGGCACTAGTTTGAGGTCGGTCATTGGATGCCGTCGCAGGGCATGCAAAAGTGATAGGCGGTACGGTTGTCCTTCATCGGGCGCAAGCTCGGATGGGCACGGCATGCTCATGGCGCGGAATGCTATTCGTGCTGCCTCCTCGGATTGCTGTTCCGAGAGAGGAGGGGATGCGTTGCCGGAGCCCACATGGGCCAGAATTTTTGGGATGAGTTTTTGTTCGTTTAGCCAATGCAGCCAGGCCCGAGCGACTATGGTGAGCGGGTGGTTTGGTTGAGGGATTGAGTGGTCTGCAGTTGAATGCATGCCAGCTCCG